AACCGACAACAGGGGCGGTTGATTTTTTAGCGTTCGCGGGGAATTCGTGAATTTTTACAGCGCCAAACGAGTCGATGATTATTTTCCTTGTCTCAATTAATTAATTAAAGAGAGAAGGTACAAGTGCTTGGATAATTCCGAGGTTATTATCGTCGGATGAATTATTGACGACGGATATCACCGCGATTTGATGGCATATGATAATGAGCAATTGATTTTTTTTTATTGAGGAAATTGCAGTTTTATGCAGATATTTGTTTAAATTATTTACCGGTAAGTGGAATTAATTGTGGAACTTGTTTCTTCTTCTCAATGATAATCGCGGATTAATAATCGTGGATTAGATTATTGGGGAAAATTCGGGGAATGGTTTCAAAAGATCTAGACAAATTTAATTTACAACCTCTCCGCAGGGACTAATTGCGAGGTACGAAAAAAGTGATAAAAAAAAAAGAAGTATTTCTCGGGTTTTGCGGGAAAATTAAGCAACAATTTTTCAGGAAAATTTCATTGTTTTTCGTATGTAGAGCAGACTCGACTAGCGAATGGTCTCGAGGCCGTTGTTGAATCCTACGAGTAATAATATTTCTGCGCAACTTTAGCGGAAGGATAATGACAAGGTGGGACAGAAATAGTCTTTTGTCCATCGTAAAAGGAATTTCAATTGTTGTTCCGTTTCGTCTGTTGTTTTTTATTCTTAGGCAAGATCCTGCGGGATTTTTCAGTGTTACCTCAGCGATAGTTAAAAAATTATTTTGCCGAAATGTCTTTTTGTGCTCGGGTCCGAGTTTTCACTTGCCCCCCGGATTTCCCATTTTTCTTTTTGACGTTTAGACGTTGCACGTACACCCGCGGAAATTATTTTGAAAATTATCTAGTTGTCGAAATCTGAGATAAAATGCTAGTGGCAATTTATTATTCAGGGGAGGAAATGCTCCGGTGGAGGTCATTTTAGCTGTTATGGGTATTTTAAAGAGAAAGAGTTGGAAATTTTCCGCAATGACGCGTTTATCAATCCCGATTACCTTGAACTTTTGCGGGCTACTTCATTTTTACCTAGTGCAAATAGAATTTAATTGATCGGTAAGCGCGCGGTTTTACGCAGTACAGCTTCCATTTTTTAAATCATTTTCATTTATCGTTTGTTTGAATGAATTATCCGAGCTGAATATCCACGGAAATTCGGAAATTTCTATCTTCAATTATCAGGAGATAATAAATTTGTTTAAACAGAAATTACGCAAATCGACTCCCGAAAAATATTCCTAAATCTCGAAGTCTCTCATTCACTCGTGGAGTACCAAATGTAAAATAACAAGAACAATTGTCTAATTATCTCACAGTTCCACCCACTGGGTGGAATAATCCCACGTTATTATCCTCCGAGGCCCCGAGAAAATCCCGACTCAAGCAAAACGAAAGTGAAAAGAAGAGAATCTCAAAAAAAACAATAACAATTCAAGTCCGGACTTTATCCCCCGATCAAATCCTAATTCAATCAATCCGATCCCGGGGAATACCTGATCGATCCGTTGAAAAACGATCCCTTGATCCACCTAAATCGCGTATTACGTATTTACGTAATAAAAAATTGTGACCAATAAAAATAAAACGAGTGAACCCCGGGAATTGCGAAATTCTCGATAGAATCCGATGGATTTGCCCCCAGGCGAATTTTATATCGAGCGACTATTTTGAGCCGAATTTTATTTCTATAGATCAGACTGACTGACAGGATTTAAAAAAAAAAAAAATTGAATAATAGAACACATTTTTTTTTTCTGGGATAAATTAAATAAAAATTGGGCCCTCGGGACTTGCAGTAATGAGTCCGATTTCCTACAAGTGATACCGGTTATCCAACGATTAGCTCTTTATCTTTTTTATCTCGTTGGATTACGTAAACTGACATTTTCAGGAGTTGCATATTCTTTTCGTGCTCTAGGGTAAAATGCTATTGGCAATTGGTACACTGAAATGTCCACGAGGTGAATTAAAATTCTGTCACTAGGTTTGACCGGTGGTAAACGGGTTTTCAATTAGGTAAAGTGTGAGGAGAACGTGACCGTGTCGTCATTAACGATTTCATTAAAATTATTATTTACAGAAATATTTGGGGAAATCCCTGAAATTATTTCTTCAACTTGAGCGATGGGTCAGAGTTTTCGGTAAATATCTCGGAGCTGACGGGAGATAGAGGTATTTTCATGATTACCTTTTTTGTAGCTCTCGATTTCCTTTTCGAAAATGGTCATTACGAGAATATCGATTTTTTTACTCAATTCCGAGATACTCACGGAAAACTGTTCTCGAGAAAAACCACTAGTCGAATTAATTGAACTCATTGAACTTGACTGATTTATTTATTTAAATTATTTCTTAATTAGTCGATTTTTCAAGATAACATCACCAAAATTTTCCAATTCTCGGGGATTTCCCAATGATAATAAATAAATAATAATAAATAAATAGATCACTCACCCACTCTGGAGACGACCGCCAGAACGACCAGCAAACCGCTGACAATCAGCATCTCGTGTTATCACTCACAAAAAAGCACAGATAAAAAATCACCCCCCAAAATAAAACCAAAACTAATTCTCCCCCTATAAAATCAGCAACCGGTGCAACGTCACTCCCCGCAGGCATAAAAAAGAAAAATAAAACGCGTGCCGCAAACAGGTGAAACTCCGTGTGCGTTTCTCCAAAACTTATTACCGATTTTCCGAGCTCTCGGCCACTGAATCCTTCACTGATCTCCAACCGACTGACAATTGAACAATTGAAAAATAAAAATAAAAAATGACTTTTTCCACTCACTCACCCGCGGCGAGGAGGAGATCGAGGATCGGATGGGGTGAATTGAGGTGGATGGGGTGGATGAGGTGGTCAGGGTTGATGGGGTGGATTTATCGGTGAATAATCGTTGATAATTTTGGTGAACGATGTGGTACGGAACCGAGTCAGTACCTCGAGTGGGCCATTGAGGTATTGCTGGAGAAAAACATATGCTTCGGTGACGACGAGAGAAAGGGGACTGGGATAAGTTCTCGAGGCGTGCTCAATACCTCCTCCCCCTGGTCCTGGCATAGGAGTCACCTTTCTATCGTTAAGCTGGTGTAACAAAGAAGGGAGTGTTGGAAGAGATGGAATACCTGGTGCCAGGAGGGGAGCATTCAAGCTCTGCCACCACCAGATTCCATCTGACATCCAATCTCCCCCCCTGAGAAAATCTTTTTTTCTACACTTTTCCTTTTCCTCACCACATCGATTTTCCACGGGTTTTCATCATTATTCCATTCGATCTATCGATTTACTTATCAATTATTACGTATCGATTATTTCAATTATTTCTTTTGCTTCCACACATCATCAGATTGAATTCTATTTTATATTCATTATTGTTTTCATTATTATTCATTGCAAATGTAAATTATTTTTCTGGTAATTCATTGAATTTTATAAATATTTATCATTTTTTCGGGAATTTTTGGTAATTCGCGATTTTTTTAATTTCTTTCAAGATTTTAGAATTCTGTGGGGGAGGCAGGGGCGAGGGGAGGGGGGAGGGGTGAGAGGGAGAGGAAGGGGGAGTGATTGCGTTGCACATATTCATGTACTCGATCGCGTACTTGAAATCAATTTACATCAGTTTCAATTTTTCCACTTTTCCTTTTACTGGCACTTCACTTGTTCACTCACTCGGCCTTCACTCAAAAAAAAAAATTCACTGTAAATTGCACGGGACACTTTCAACAACTCCAAAGTGATAATGATAATGATAATTCATTGATGAATGTCTTGAGTAGTCCTGGAATAATTTTCAAGATTGATGTAGCATTTATAATGGTAAAATTACGGAGAACTGTAAATTTCTGGTAAGTATGGAATTTTAATGCCGAATTTAATTGACGGAGGAAAATTAAAAACAAAAATAAATAGCGTATCACAGATGCCTCGAATGTATTAACAAATCGCCGATTGTTTATTTCACGTGGACCTCGAGGCGATTTTAAATCGAGTCCTGGATTATCGTTTCAACTCGACTGTCAAGGCAAAATAAATTTTTTCCTCTCAACAGCAAAACCTCGAACGTCATTTTGAAAATCCAATTATCCTCATTAAATAATCGTTAGCTCTTGCGCAATTTAGCAGCTTCACACCCTCGGAAACGTCCCATTAATAATCCATAAAATGTTTCCAGCTGATCGAGAATTAATCAATAATTTTACGAGCGTTGTTTTCCCACCGGTGAAAAAATTAAAAAACGCAAAACAAATTAACCCTGAGTACTCATTGCAGTTGAATCGTGTTAGAATGAAAAGGGCGCGGCCGCACGAATGAAAATATCCGATAAAAAATCTAGCCAAATTTTTATATTCCCCTCCGCATTTTTTTGAAATTCTAAAAATTCTAAAAAATGTTGAAAATATCAGCGTTACGATTGCAATTAAATAATGTTTAATGATTTTATTTATATTTATTTTATAATCATCAATAACTATCAGCTCCTTTATCTCCTTTCACGATTATTTCTACCAACGAGCGAATAATCCGATGCGAAATACACGTGAGTACCTCCTCCAGTCAATTACGCAACGAGAAGAATAATTGAATAATTAATTCCACCAAATCTGGGCATAATTGGAATTCAAGATTTGCAGGGATGGGAGAATTTTTAGATTGTCTTGCCGCGGGTTCGGAGGTTTCTTTTGTGATGTCATCCCGTGGGAATTTATTATTCATTCTGTTAATTGTACCGAGTGATTAATTGCAATTATTCGGAGGGGGCAATTACCAACGCGTCTCCAATACTCTTGTGCTTCGAGAAATATCAAAATTCTAGCCATTTATTTATTTATTCACTGCTCCCTAACGTCTTAATTATTACGCATCAATGCCGCAATTAAATTATTAATAAAAATACTAATTACGTTAATTAAAAATATTTTAATTCGAATAAATAATTGGGTAATCAATGGATTTTTTATTTATTTAAGTTTGTACTCGAAAAATTGAGTTGTGGAAAGCCGGAAGATTTTTTTTTTATAAAATCCAATGGAGAGGAATAATTAAGTGTCATTAATTAGTAAAATAAATCAGCCCGTTCGCATAAATTCATAATTCACAACAATGTCAAGCCGTAAAACTCGAGAGTCCAGTATTTTCATTGTCCTCAAACAACCGGATGTCGGGCTAAATGAACATACGACGCAATTAAACTCGAGTCGAGCTTTTAAATGGTAAGTCCTGTTGCGGTGAAACAGGATAGATTAATTTCCCTGAACAACCGATTATGAATTTTTAAAATAATTATTCCAGACCGCCGAGGGGAAGATGATAATGTCAAGGGCCGTATCTGCAATTCCTTTTTATTCAATTACCCGTAAGACGAAAATGCCGACAGAAAATTGATTCTCATCTTTTTAAATTGTCGCAAATCAAATTGATGAGTGTTAAATATTTTTGGGGTGGGTACTTGGGAGATATAATTTTTTCTCTCGGTGTGAATGGAACGATTTTTCTCGGCTTCAAATAAATTCCAGACTCAGAATTGACTTCACATTTATGCAACTCTATTACAAACCCGAGCATTTAGCGTTTTGATATCCATCAGTTACCTAAGATTAACCTTTCTTTTTGCCTTGACGAACGCACACAAGTACCTGATACACATCGTCATGAGGGAATGGATTTTCAAGACTTACAATGAGGAAAAGGAATTGCTGGTTCGAATGATTGAATGAATTTTTTAATCCCTTTTCACATTATTATCTCAAGCCTTTCATCGCCGAGTCATAATTACCGATTCGTATTGTCTCCACGCCCAAGGGAATCCCCACTAATTTCTAATTAATAATTTTTTAAATAATTAACTGACCCACGAAATTTGGAGAAATAATTTTTCCGTCAGAACGGATATTCAATTTTATAAATTTTCTAACAGCAAGAAAGTCTTTTCACTCGGAATTTCAATTCTCATTTTTCGATAATGAATCGAGAACTTGAAAATAAAGGGGTCAATATTCACTAGTTCAAACGATTTCTATTCTTTCGCGCGTGACGCACCCGATTACCAATACCTCCATCACTTATTTATTCGGTTATGAGATAATTACTGCTTTCCATTTTCAATGGTAATAACGAGCAGTTAGCTCGGACACTAGTCAAGAAAAACGAGCCGTTGGTTTTTAGTACGTGATCGAGGCGAGAAGGTCCCCTTTTTTGCCGATCAAACAACAAAATAATTTACCTCGACCAAATCATTGCAAATTTATTATTTTCCAACGAATCCAAACGAATCTGCTAAATAATATCTGATAACGATTACGATGACGATTACGATGACGATAAAACGAAAATTAAATCGGCAGTAGAATTTTTTTGAGAAATTTTTTAAATAATCCGGCGAGGGATTGTTATCTGGAATGTTGACATTAATTCACAGACCAGTGGATAAACAGTTATTTAGCCATTTTGGAATTTCGCAAGTGTGCAAATAGCTGTCTCCATCGTGTCCTACCAGAAACCAAGCGTGGGACGATATAAACCCGGACTAAAGTACTCTACATTCACTCAAGTACAAACGTGTGCACTCGTTACGTGATTTTTCGTTACTTCCGTTTTTCACTGGTGGTCACGCGCCATTGGGACACGATTTTCAATGCCCACTGGATATCCCATCAATCATTTTATCAGATCAATTTACGGCGGTGAGAGACGGATATGCGAAGGAAAGTGAAATTATGTCAATAGATAAAAGACGAAACGTAACGACTTGAGTGCGATATTGGGTGTGGGTTTTGGGAGCTCGAGAAACTTTCCCGCGGTCTAATATTGTCAATGAATTATTCTAATTTGAATTGTTGATAATTCATTAAAAAAAGGGGATTTTTTTACAATAGCACGGGCCAAATCGATGATTTCATGTCGTAAGAGAAAATCCCTTCGAAAAAGTCCTTCGACGCTTCCGCCAAACTCGCTAATTACCGGGGCCATTTCTCAGAATAAAAAATGAAATTATTCTAATTATCAAATCAGAGATGATATCATCGGTGGAGATAAAACGTAACGCGTCGGCAGGATAATTATTTTGATTATAGAAGGGCCAGCAGGTGCTTGTTTTTGTGACTGATGAGATTTCCCGTGAAAACATCATCAAACATTTCCTCAACCCGTTAATTACCGATTGTGTGATCACCCCGAGGGGATCCCCTTCGTAATTTATATATTATTACACTACTCGGATTACAGAGATAATTCTAGAGTGAAATCGTTTGAATCAAAAGTTATCTCTGAGAAGAATTGAATGTAAAGTACTGATTCGATTCTTATCACACCTCTCGCTTTTCCATTTGTGCGTTGATGCATCGCGATAAAATGCCAGTTTCCCGGGAAAAGCGATCATAATTGATCGGAGTGGACGTATTACGCACTGCAGGTTGATAATGAAAGGGTATTTGCGACATGTGTAAAACGTTTTGATACGAGTTGGCACGTAAATGCGAAATCGAGACCTTCGAGGCGTCCTGGATCCGTGGCTACGCCCTCAATCAATTCCACGTCTTTTACATCAATTGCCACTATTAACCAACACTATTCTTCCCTTTTTCGCATTGCGATATGTGTGGGCAATTGTGCACCGAAGGCCAACGATTTTTGCGCAATTACAGACGATATTGCTAATTATCGGGGATTCTTACTATATCGGAGAGGTAAACTGTATCGAATCCATTTTGAGGAATATCTCGCAATCCAACGGAAATAGCGAAATTTTGGTAATAACCTTTTTTGGAGAATGGATTTTGAGGTAGAAAAAGGGAATCTATAAAAATTTCTGTATCTCTCTTAGATTAGGGGGTATTCTCGAAAATCTTGAACCCTCTTCACTACGGAATTCCATGCGATGAACTTTATATTCAAGTGACAGTAGAGGAATTAATTAAATATAATAAAAGTGGGAATGACTGATATTTTTAATTCTTTTCAAATATGAAAGTCAATCGATGATTGAGTGGAATAATTTTTTTTCTTTAAGAGAACACTTCCGTCTATTATTTAATGCTGAGTTGTAAGTATTAAAAAATGCCTGAAGTATTTAATATCGACTTGATTATTGGACTCTGCTCTACATTCAAACAACCTTGATTGCTCCCAATCATTCAAACTTTTACATCCGTTACCCCGTAAAAAAACTGACAACTGTCAACAATTCCAATGAGGCGTGATTTAATGAATTTTTCTCAGCATGCGCCAGAATTTCTCAAAACGCAATTTCATCGCATGGACTTTCTCCCCAGTCTATCCTTGAATTAAACGATAACTACTCACCAATCACTAACGGTCTGGATCAGGACATGAGGACGGGAAAATAATAGAGGAGATCAGGATAACAGGAGCGCACCAATCCACCATCTGTTAAATAATGATTTATTTATTAATATCTGTGAAACGATTTATGTACATTGAATCCAGACGATTAATTCATCCTTTCCGAGTTTTTTATTTTTCGTTCATTTTTCTCCACTCGTACAAAAGATACGAAAAATCAGCCCAAAAAAAAATGAATGAAAAATTAAACTTTAAAAAACCTAAACGATTCGAAAAAAAAAATCGAGCAAAAACAATAATAAATTCACGATACCTCGTAAAAATGGATCAAAAATAAATTTCTCTTTGTAAAAAAAAACGTGATGGGGAGAATATTAATTATTGACTAATTCAATCTGTCGATATTTTTTGCGCATGTTACTGACGGGGTCTTTGAACAGCACAGGATCCAGTCTCATGTTTGAACGAAGGAGAGGCATGTAACCAAAAACAGCAACAAATGTATTCATGCAGGTTTGACGCTGAATAAAGTGGTCCGGATCGTTCCACGATGATCTGAAATAATATTGAAACACCAACCTCATTAAACATTTTTCCATTTTCATTCAATTTTTCCGCATTCATTTTCATAGGGAATAAATCCGTAAAATATTTTCTACACCATCTGATTTGAAACAGAAATGTCAAGGAACGTTCTTGTATAGAATTAATTCCCCATGTAAATAATGAGGCACGTAAAGACAAGAATGTCACATTTGACTTATGCCTATCGACGTCGGAATGAGGCCTCAACCTTTCATTTTCATTGCATCCGAAGGCCTCCTGATCACGAGATCAAAAATAGCGAAAAATTCCAAGAGAATTTCGACGTTATCGAATTGAAATTCAGTAAAATCTGCATTAACTAATGCAAAAAATTATATGAACCAACAAAAATGCTTTGACGACTAGAAATAAAAAATAGATAATAACTGAAAAATCGAGACACAGCTGTTGATTAATTTTACCTTATTCCAGCTGCCGTAGTATCTTTGTACAATTTTCTCTGGGTGACCTTGATGGGAGGTCGTCGTGTCACGTGGCTGACCAAGAAGTTCATGAGTATATCCTCACAGTTCTGGGATTGTTCTACTGTCTTGTGGAGTGTTGAGCTGAGTAATTCTGTGTAAAGAGTATTGTAGTAACGGTGATAGAATGCCGCACCTGTCAGAACTATACTGTAATCATTTGTCCATTTGCTCGTGTAGCCCCACGATCGCTGAAATTATTCAAATTGACATCTGAAGACTTGCAAAATCGTACTTCAACTCATTGGCATCAGCCAGATGCTGTTCTAGTAACGACACGATAAATTAAAATAATTGAATTTTTATCGCCCAGTATTTAGACAATATCTCATAATTGGAGGAGCATATCAATTTTTTTGTATAAACATTTTTTGTAGAAAAAAATGAGATTTACAAGAAAGGTATGCATGAAAATATCCTTATCTCCCTTCAATTTCGAGTTATCGGCTTAAAACTGACTCAGAAAAAAATACAAATCACTGAAATTATGAATTTCTCTGTTATTTCACCTTGGAGTCATCCCAATAATGCGATCTCGCCGGATAGCCGACAATCCGATCAGGAAACGACTGCCACACGACGAAAGCAAAGTCTATTTCATCAGTATTCAAGGTGGCGTCCTCATCCAGTGATAATATGGCACTAGTCTTGATCTGGGGATGAGGATGAAACCTCTGGGAGATGCCATTGGCAGCAATAACATGAATTGTCGCTTTAATCCCCTGCCAACGAGGTCTCCTCGGTACAGGAATGTCAGAATTCCACAGTAAAATAATCTGAAATCGAATAGCAAATCCAAATGTCAAGTGCTCCAAAAACAAACTAAAAATCCTTTCCCCATCTCTCAGGAATTTCCAAATTTATTTGAACATAAGTATTTATAGAATACTCGGAAAACTTGCAGCCGTACCTTATCTAAATATTTACTTTTCGCGACGCTTCGTAATAGACGATAAAGAACAGCTGTTGACCCCAACTGTGAATAGATAATAGCTGTAAACTGATTGCCTGGCTCATGATTTGAGAAGGGCAGCTCCTGCTGGCTATCAGCGAATTGTGGTAAAATGGCTAATGCACCAGGATATGTATTCCACGTCAATTTCTCACGAGTTCCCTCCCATGGTAACCTCTCCCTCACGTTCTGCAAAACAAACAATAATTATCGATTAAACCATTACAACTTCACCAGCAACGAAATAAAGAGTCGATACCAATTATTACCCCCAATTAACTAATGAATTAATAATTAATAATCATAATGAAATAAATTCTCACCTCAAAAACAGTAAAGATGATTTTCTCAATAGACGAAAAATATCTCTCCCACAAAAATTGCGTCTGCTGTCTCAATCGAAGTATTTGACTATTCGATACTGATCTGACAATATCAGGTATCTGTAAAAATATAATAAATAATAAATTATGATTGTTCCCTTGAGTACGGAGAAGAGTGAAATTTTATTTTGTACTAACTTGTAACAGCAGCCTCTCATCAGCAAAAATAACCGCCTGAGTCCAGTCAATTCTCTCATGAAATGGCAATGCCCATCCGTTACTTAGAATCACAGGAATGCATCCAGCCCTGAGTGCCTCAAGAAATCTAAAGCTGCCGAGTCTACGACCCCTGGGCACCAGGCAAAACGTCGAATTAAGCAGAAGTACCTCATAATCGTACCTAGAAAGCCAGACAATATAGCATATAAATTTTCGAGATAAAAAAATAAAAGCCGAGATAGATTCTAGAATTCTTACGTATCATATTCCTGATTATCCTGCTGGCAGTGTTCATCCTGGAGCTCTCGCCAGCTCTTTCCATGCCTGCACGTTGTGACGAAAACTAGGTCCTTGCCATTATGAAGATGATAAAGAGCATTTCTTGTTTCCGATCCAATACCATGAACGTATCTCTTCCCTTTGAAAGCAGCTACGTATTTTTTAACACTTGGATAATTATTTTCAATGGCTTGTCCAGGCTCACCACCTCTCTCCATGTGTTGTTTGGAGAATAGTGGTATCGATACATCGAATTCAGGTCTCAAACGTGAGGTAGACATGCTTGCTTTAGCGAGCATAGCATAACCGATATTAAAGGCTAATGAGTCTTCGGAATAGTCTGGCCATGTGCCTGAGTAAAGATTGAAGATCAAATGATTTCTCCCATCATTCCAGTGGGCCAATCTCATCAATTTTGTCGGCAAATTACGTACAAATTCAATGGACAGTGGATCACGATCCAGTGTATCAAGGGACAAAACAAATAAACATGCTTTTGATGGATCCGATGTGTAATAACGTGACTCTGTGATAACGTTCAATATTTTTTGGTATATTGGACTTATCGTGTCCTCCACCGGATAAACATACACTGTAAATCCATTTTTACATTTTGTATAATCAAAACACGTGTCCATGCGGCAATTCTTCACAGCATTGTACATCAGTGTGTTTATACCACTCGTACGTGTATCTTTGTCATAAAAATTTTCATTTATTGTCAAATACGATGGCATATTACTTATGTATAATTTTTTATCCTCTGTCCAGTTTGAACTTTTTAAGCGATAACCACCGAAGTAACAGTAGCCGAGAAATGCACACGTCACGAATAGCAACAGATATCGTTTTTTGGCTTGCATTTTCTTATCTTTAGTTTTTTTATTTTTCACGTCTTGCTATTTTCAGTTTTTTTTTTTCTCTTCCTTTCCTCTTTTATTCACGTTTAATTTATTATTTTTCCTTTAGACAGCCATTTTTTTCGGTTATTCCATCCACTCTTGGGATTATATTAATAGTATTATTTTTGCGGTATATTAAAAACATTTTAAGATTAAATATAAAATGGTACTCAGTCGTTGATATACGTTTTTACAGTTATTTAGCGTTTTATAGACTTTTGATATTTATTTTATGGCAATGTTTATGTTGTCTTGGATTTATGGCAATTCGCGGGAGAAACTAGATGAATTGTTCCATTGGAATATTGCTGAAATATGAAAAATAGCGGATAAATTAACTTTCTCGGGGATTAAAGCTGTGGCGAGATGGTAAACTGGAATGAGTGATTTTTTTCGAGGCCACTTTTTGGAAAATATCTCGGAATTCAGTGCAGATAACGATATCTTCATGAATACCTTTCTTGTAGCTCTCATCTTTTTCCACAAAAAATGTTTATACAATAAAATCGGTATGTTCCTTCAATTCCGAGATATCGGCTAAAAACGGGATCTCGATAAAAATGTACTTATCCTAGTTTACAATTTCGTTACTTAAATGTATTAGAATAAATTCGCAGTAAATTCAAGAATCATTTAATTTCACGATTTTGCAGAGGGGCTGATAAAAAAAGTGGATGAGACAGGGGTTTTATTGTTCTCAAGTGGATGAATGAAAAAGTGAAGATAAGAAATAAGACGAATTGTTTTGAAATAAATCGGTTGTCCCCTTTTGGTTTCAGTAAAGTGCTCCAGTAATTGAATGGAAGGAAGACCCATCGTCTTTTTCATGCATAAAAAATATTTTCTGAACCGTAGAATATTCGCCGGGAATTAATTCTGAATTTATCAAAGGAATTCATAAAGGTTTTGCATTTCAGATTGTTTCCAGTCGATGGAGCACGTATTATTCACGTCGAATAATGCATAAAGACTTCATAACCGATTTCAAACAACAGAAGTGCATGAATTAAGAATTGCCGAGGAAGGAAACATCAACGGATAAATAAAACATATTTTCTGAAAACAATTTCCACAGAAATTCTATTTGTCACAGAACGTGACGAATTCATAGAATCCGATTTAAAGAGTTCTTTCAGTCCAGTGCAATTCAAATTTATTATCGCACAACTTCAGTTTCTATTTCAGTTTCAATTGATCTCGAGTAAATTATTATCAATCATATCGTATTGAAATAGCCTCGATCGTTCTATCGAAACCAGTTTTCCACGAGTCAATCAATGAAAAATAAATGAAAAGGAAGATGGTATTTTAGAAAAAGAAAAACTTTTTTTTATAGAGAATCCCAGGTCTCTTTGTTATTGACAACAAATATTTATGACAGACAATTCTCAAATAATAAAAAATGAACCTTTACAAAACTGGGGAAATAAAAATTTATTATTCAATGACTTTCATCTATATTTCACTGCAGTTGAGCTCAAGAGAATTAAAATCAATCCCATCACATTGGAATAACCAGTTTTCCTCAAGTCAAACAGATAAAAATAGAGAAGAGCAGAGATAAATGGAAAACAAAAATAAGAAAAAGGGGGGAAAATGGAACGGTATTTTTTTAGATAAAATCCTCCTGACTCCATAGATCAGAAGATATTTTTAAAAAACTGAGAATTGGATGGACAAATTCCAGTCTACCCTCTGCGCTACGATTTCTTTCTCCCTGTCAATTCAAATAGAATATATTAAAATAGTGAACCAAAAACGAACCTTTGGAAAATCGGTGCAAACAGCCAAGCAAATACTCGCCGACGGCGACGAGCTCGACTCGTGTCTCCAGAATGCGACATGGAGCAAATCACAAATTCATTAACCCCCAATGGCACTGAACCCACACATCAATCCCTTCCCCGTGTCACTTACTCATCACTTATATTAATTGCACCATCACACATGTCGCACACGTAGCGAATTCCTGATTTATGCCAACAAAGGGAGTAAATGTGAAAAAATGTTGGATCAGCAGTTGACGCCAAATAAACCAATTCGATCATTTTCGTTTACACAACAAACACGATAAGTCGCACTGCACTAATTTATTCTCATGATTATGGAAAATCAAGAGTGACGTTTGTATTTCCTTGAGCACTCCGTGAACTTTTAGGTTAACTTCCGATAAAGAACGCAGAAGAATTCACCGGGGGTTCAGCTATTCCACCAGGCATCGTTCAATTGCCGGATTTTTCCTTGAGATGTTGAGTGATTGTGCGTGTGAGGATGATGACAATGTCATTGCTCGGTGGTGAGTGAATAATTGGGGGGTTAAACGACAATCTGAGGTACTGCACTGACACCTTCCGGTTGTGGAGATTAGAAAATAGCTGTTTGGGGTGAGGGACGGCTGATGATCATCACGTGATGGAGTTTTCATCGGTTGTGCGCATGGCGAGAGCTCTCTTTTACGCACACGGCGTCGCGCCACTCACTGACAAAATGGCAGGCGCTAGGGGGGGAGACGCCGCGCCGACGCGCACGCCACACGCGCGGGAACTTTCGGTTTACAAATCAAAATCGGCTCCCCACCCCCCATAGCTCACCCACAATATCCCACCGCCAAATATCTAGCAACCCTTTTGTTTTATCCTTTTCCGTTAAGGCCAGGGTGGAGGGATTTTTGCCCAACAGGAGGAAATTCCCCAGAAAAAACGCGTTTTACAGGGACATAAATGCCAGTCCCTGTAGACCCTCAAAAAATATCATCGTACGGTCACGAATCTGGCCGTATTTTCGCGCTACGACCCATAGGAAGCGAAAAAATCGAGTTTTTCTAAATCGAAAAAAAAATCGCTCAAATCGAATTTTCGATACATGAAATCGATGCGTCTCGACGAGATATAAACGAATATGACCTTATTTGGCATTTTCGAAGCAGTTGATTTTATTTTGGTATTGAAAATTTGAATTGAATTGAATAATTGTTTCTGGGGGTGTTATTATTATTGTTATAGTTGTGTGAATTTTATTTTATGAATTGATGATTTTAGGATTTTTCCAGCGTTGTAAAATTCAAGGACAAATTGCTCAGGTGCATTGATAATTCAATGAAAAAATTACCGTGATAAATTCCGTTTGAATAATGGAGTGAACTGACTCGACGAGGTGAATAATAAAATACAAATTGTTTGACAACACGTGCGTGATCGATGCAATCAGTAAACTGTAATCGTTGATTCGTGATCGAGATAAAATAACAATCGATCTATCCTGAACTTTCATTACTGAACAATAAAAATGTGAATCGCACAGTATTTCAATATGAATTCGCGAAATACGCACAGGAATTCACTGCAAAGTAGAAATACTAGATTTAAAAATCGGTCATTACCGATATTTCCTCCACGCAAGAGACACGGTTTAAAAAATAATTCGAGTAATTTATTGAGTGAAGTGTACGAAGAATTCTCGAGAGAATCTTCAATCCACGGGATAAAATACACGAGTCGAAGTAAATCAATTCCTGAACGGTACACATCAGAAAATAAAAATTACTCACTGGTATAAAAAAAGGAAATAAAATATTTCCTTCCCCCAAAAAATGTTGTGCCATCAGGCAATTTTTTTCAAATTGCAAAAATAGTTAATGAATGATTTTTTGTTATTTGGAACTTACTCCTCTGATTTTTAACGTTAGGATCCTCTGGGCGTTTCTTATCATCTTGTCAGTGATAGCAGCTGGAATTTTGGCGCAGAAATTTTATTACAGACATAAACAGGGAAATATGAGGACATTGGTGATATCAAATCAGTATCCCTCATGGAAAATTCCCCTCCCAGCTGTAACAATTTGTCAATCAACAGTAGCGAGTGCCGATAGACTCAATAAATACATGCGTGAATCCAAAAAATTGTGAGTTCAATAAGAAAATTTTTTATAAATCATCGTATCACTCACCGCTTCAACCCCAGGACTACAAATTTATCTATAAATATTTTATCTATAAATATTTCCGTGGAGTAATATATTTATATTATAATATATTAATAATATATTATAATATTTTCTCGTAATATTTTGACAGGTAATATAATTATTGAATAAAATTTCGATTAGCCAGGTTCGATCGATGGATTTCAGGAAGATGCCATCAGGACTGGACTTCAACCAGTTCTTGAATGATTTGCAATTCCTGAAAGAGCTGTACATTCCAACGAACCACTTCCAGAATGCAATCTCCCGGTTGAACAGGATCGTCTCCTACAACAACCTGAGTGTATCCGAATTCACATCGATAATGAGTCCCTCCTGCGACGACTACATCGTCCTGTGTCGGTCCCAGGGTGAGATTAAACCCTGCAGTCGTTATCTGAAAATTTCCATGACACCTTATGGAATCTGCTGCTCAGCCAATTACGACCCTTTGCCCACCGAGCAAAAGTAATTACCGTAATGATGATCCGATGGTCAGTGAAACAGAGTTATTTCCGACACGCACTGTGTCGAGGATCACGATATTTATATTTTTCTTCAATGGGTGAGAAGGTCACTGTTGACGCCATGCCTTGGAAAATATTGTATCAACAATTTTCTTTATTTTTAAATAGAAAACGCCATTCAAAGCTCAAAATAATCGAGTCATTAAATTAATTAGTATTTGAGAGTGAATTAATCATCCAATAAAAATAGATCTTTCAATCTTTGATGATTTTCCAATTCCAAAAATGATGAATTATAAATATATTTATAACTCTCAAGTTCACAAGTAATTGTAAATTAATTTTTGAGTTCCACTGGTATAATTAGGGATTATTTAATAGATCAGAGTACTACAGTTCAACTTACGGTGAGGTCTCGCTGTTATCAGTAATCCTGAGGAATTCCAGTCCCGAGGACAGAATCTCAGGATTATTCTACGGAGATGGTGCCCGAGTGCTTATCCACGACCGTCACACGTACCCAGGCCCATCGTCCCGTGAATTCATAGCCAGTCGAGGAAGTGAGGTGACAGCCTACATCGACGGTCATACCCTGACAGCCAGTCCCGAGGTCCTGAGCCTCTCCCAGAAGGAGCGGGACTGTCGCACCAGTGACCCAGGAAGCATCACCTACAGACTTGACAATTGTCTCGCCAACTGTCACGAGATGATGTCCAGGTCCCAGTGCCAGTGCGTACCTCTTTACGCCTCCGTCATCCTCGGGAGTGACACTATCTGCAATTTTACGCACGTTGCGTGTATGTCTGGGGTGAAATCGCGAATTGCTAGGACATCCTTCAGAGGATATCCCTGTCACTGCCTCCCAGACTGCGAGGGGACAAGCTACTCAGTTGCTACCACTGCTGTACCCATGAATGCCGTCCAATACAATCCATCGGAATTCTAGTAAATTCATTGCATTAGAAATTATGAAATTAATTTCTCTCAATTAATGAACAATTTCAATTCTTTTTAATTCAATACATTTATTTGTCGAGATATTTTTATTGTTTTCCAGTCGAATCGCCAGGAGATACCCCAATGTCACAGCCATTCACGTCACCTTTGCCAGGCAAACGGCGATGCTGCTGAGGCGAGACCTAGTCCTCTCCTGGATCAATCTAGTATGTGAGTACCGAGAGAAATAATTTATAATAAATTAATTGCCCCGAATAATCATTTTTATCTCATCGTCAGCCTCACTCGGAGGAGTTTTCAGTCTCTTCCTCGGGTGCAGCTTCATCTCAGTAATTGAAATCATTTATTTCTTCAGCTGCTACCTCTCGCAATTGATGAAGAGTCGAACAACAAATTTGCAACAATGATAAATAAATGAAATACAACAGTTATTAAATTTTCTTTGGATAGATATCCATAATTAACACGTAGGAAGAATAAATAAAATTCATTTCGAAAATTATAATTACAGAGAGAATGATTATTTATTCGTTTTCATGTCCTCGCATCCAATGTAAATAACATTTTCCATGTCCCTAGGGAATGTCTTCCGCCCGAAATTCCGTTGATGAATAAAAAATATCCTGAATTCTCCCGAGCCTGTGGACTTCCGGAATATTTACTCAAATTATTCGTGCTGTGTAAAATTAATTATGAATAATTACCTGGGGACGGTGATCGATTAAAATCACCCAATTTTTCCCACTCAATCCGATAATCTCGCATTTCGTCATGGACTGCCAGACAATACAGATTTCCTCCCGCCCTGGAGAACCCCTAGGACTCCGGAATTTAAAAATGTTCCCGACGGTATCGAAATCGAAATCGAAACCGCAGCTTTTTCAACATGCGAGTAATTTAATGAGCGAAGTGTACGATGAATTCGCTGAGGAATCCTCGATCCATGGAATCAGATACACGAGTGGGAAAAAATCGCCACGAGAACGGTAAATATTAATTAAATTTATCGAGAAAAAAAAATCTATCTCGAATTGTTGTTCGACTTCAGAGCAGTCTGGCTTCTCCTGGTGGTGCTATCAATGATATCAGCTGGAATGCTGGCTCAAAAATTTTATCACAGACACAAAGAGGCCACTATGAGGACTTTAATCGTCACTAATCATTACCCATCGCACAAAATTCCACTTCCCGCTGTGACGATATGCCATCCAACTATCGTCAGTACCCGCAAACTTGAGCAGTACGAGAAAGACGGAAAAAGAATGTAATAAATTTTTTTATAAAAAAATAGTAGAATCGAAGAAATAAATTTTGGGGAATTAATGGATTTCAGAGAGATGCCATTCGGGATGGAGTGGAATCAGTTCTTATCAGACTTGCAATTCACTCAAGAAATATATGTTCCAACGAATCACTTCCAGCACGCGATGTTTCGTCTCAATTCAGTCATGAGTTATAATAATCTCAGCATGGAGGGACTGCTCTCGATACTTAGTCCATCCTGCGACGAATACCTCGCCCACTGCCAGCTCCAGGGGGAATCGAAATCCTGTCATCACTACATAAAACCCTCGAAAACAATTTACGGTTTGTGCTGCTCCTTCAACTACGTCTACGCAGAAAGAGATACTCGGTAATTTCTTTCCCTTCTTCCACGTTATTAATTTAGCAGATAATCATTTTTTAATTTTCCTCCAGATTTCTCCTCTCGCAATATCTATAATTCTAATTCAATTAGAAATATTATTTGCGGTTATTAGAATAAAAATTGAAATGACCAAAAAATTTTTTTTTTATTAATGTTTAGATGGTCTCAAGGTGAAGACATCTACAGTAATTTTTTCGGTGACAATTTCATCTTTTCGGCGATCGTGAAAAATTTCGGCGACCTAGACCGAATAGCAGCGCTTACCTACGGCGATGGTACGAGAGTTCTGATTCATGACTCCCACTCGTATCCAGGCCAGTCATCCCGAGAGTTCATAGCCCGTCAGGGAAGTGAGACGATAGCATATGTTGACGGACGTATATTGACAGCGAGTCCAGAGGTTCTTAATTTACCCAGAGATGAACGGGATTGTCGTACCACCATGGCAGGGGGTAGTACCTACAGACTCGACAACTGCATCGCAATCTGTCACGAGAAGCTCTTGAAGGAGTACTGCGATTGCATACCCTATTACGCATCAGTTTTTAAAGATGATGATATCGCTTGCAATTTTACTCACATTTCATGTCTGTCCAAAGTGAAAGCTAGAGTGCTGCAGACACCATTCAGGAATGAACCCTGCAACTGCTACCCAGTCTGCGATGGCAACAGCTACCTAGTGGCCATCACTGCAGCACCTATGAATGCTGCGCAGCACAATCCATCCAGTTTTTAGTAATTGTTCATTATACACATAGAGTTATCAATAACAAATTTCAAATTCCATCGAATGCAAGAGCTGGATTTTTTTTTTCTTGCAGTAGAATAGCCGAGAATTACCCGAATTCCACAGCCATTCACATCACATTTCCGAGGCAAACTGCGACTTTGTTGAGACGGGATCTCGTACTCTCATGGATTAATTTAGTATGTAAGTACGATAAAGGATTATTTATGGATTCAACTAATTATTTTCTGTACAGCTTCACTAGGAGGAGTTTTCAGTCTTTTTCTTGGCTGCAGCTTTATCTCATTGTGCGAGATGATTTACTTCCTGATGTACTACGTCTACAGAGTGATAAAGGGCCGAGTAACAAATTCTTAGAGAACACAAACTTTATTTCATTATTTCCAAGTCTATGCACATGATACTCAACGAAAAACAAAAGAAATATTGAAAGTATTATATAAATAATTAAACAGAATTATAGTGGGAGTTGATTAGTCTATAATTATCAAACATCCTAGAATTCTAAAATATTTATTCATCCTCTCACGTTCAACGTGCACTTGTCTCTGTTGTAACTCTCGAATTAATGGATGTACCAGTTTATCGGTGGGAGGGGATCTATAAATTATTCCTCCTCACTACTGCCCTCACTGTCTGGCTCCCCAGGTGATTGCACCTCCTCCACGTCGTCCTCCTCCTCAGACTCACTCTTGACCTCGTCCTCTGATGCGCTTTTAATCGCCTCATTCTTCGCCTCACCCTCGTCCTTATCCACGCCATAAATTTTCAGTGATTCTGCCTTCTTCCTTCTCTTCTGCCTCCTCTTGTCCCTGTGAATCTCCAGCTGGATTCCCCTGCAGAGCGGCATTGGACGTTCCTTCTTCAAGTACGCAGCAGCTGTGTGGAGGTCACGAAATTTAATAATTCCAGTTCTTCCCTCGATGCTAGAACATGAAAAATTATAAAATGAAAATATCGACTCCGGGGATTTTCCCAAGTTTACAGAATTGCATTTCTATAAAAATTAAAAAAACCCTCACTGATTTTTGAGCCTCTGTTTATAGAGTATAGCAACATTCTTGGCTTCTGGAAATAACGCCTTGAGTTCCTTGACACTCGCGGCATTTGGAATATTATGAAGGAAGCAGCTGAAAACAGAAATATCAATACGATAAAATTTAACTCTGTGTTTACAAATATCCACAGGCATAAATCTTCAAAACAAACGATAAGGCTCACATTTTCGTGACTTTCTCCTCATCCTTGGGTTTATCAATCACAACAGATTTCACTTTTTTCAACTTCTTCCTCTTCTCAAGCTTGACGTCTAGCTCCTTGACCTTGGCGTGACTAAGAAATATGTGTTTGTTGTCGATGAGTTTCTTCTTCAGGGCTTTCATGTTCTTCAGCTTCTCCTCGACACTCGGGAAGATGATGTGGCAGTGTCTCCCCGATTGTCTGGGCAATTTTATTTCGACATCCCCGAAGATGAGGTCACGGATGTCGTCCATGTTTTTGATCTGATGGGGCAGACGAATGTAGAGGGTCCTCACACGTTCCTCCTCCATCTCCTGGGCAGTCCTGACCTTCATTGTTGCTAAAAAAAAACAAAAAATCATGAATTATGAAATCATGACAGAAATTCAGAATAGTGAGGAGACGAAAAAATTTTAAGACGAATGAAATTTCACACACTATTTAAGATCTGTCTATAACCTATCCCAATGCTTGATCGATTTTTTTTCAATATGGGAGTAAAAAATAAAAATAAAATAACAGGTGTACATACCAATTATTCAAGCAACACAATACACAAACCACTCCTCATGGGCCTTGGAGATTAATCCCCGAACTGACCCACCAAAAATCGATGAACCCACGTGTGTCTTTCTGTTTTTATTGAAAAAAAAATTTGAGCCCTGGACGGCGTCTTCTGGAACTCCCGGTTGTCGTCGATAATCTCGGAATTCCTCTAGCCGACGATCACCGACAAATGCCGGTATGACGCCATTACGTTGACCTTCATTGTCCTCAGAACGAAGTACTCCCTGTCAACGTTGGCATCTCACACCTTTTGCTCGTGAAATATCTTTCTACATTTCTCCAGCTCATCAACGAATCGATTTTCCAAGGTAAAGCACAAAAATTCCGCAACTCCTCCTCTGCAATTTCATTGCAAATCCAATCAAAGTCATTTGATAATCTCCAAGAAATTATCGTTATTCCGGTAATCACCGGTAATTATCTATCATTTCACATTCATTCGTGCCCCTCGTTTTTTTATTTCCTCTATTCTAATTTTTTTTTCGTGGTATTAGAATGTGATAATCGATATCAATGTAACCTTCAATGACTCGTTAACTCGAAACCTTGAATCTATTTCGCAGAACCGTATTTTTTACTACATCGTTTGGGAAAATAATCCCATAATGTTCATTTTCTTTTTTCTGTGGAAAAATTGAATTGTGACGTGTCCCGTGATAAATCGCTTTTCACGTGATAATGCGCACGCCCAAAATCCCACAAGTCTCAAGAAATAATTGTGAATAATTAGAGACTGGGGAAAAATAGAATAACGAATTGTCCGAATTTGGTAATTAAAAAATATCCAACAAATATCAATACAAATAATTATTTTCAATATTTTTAAATATAATATTATTGTGATTAAATTTACTTTACAGAAGTTCTTCTTCATGTACGTATGGATTGAAGAAGAAAACAAAAATAAATGCGAGAAATCTCAAAGAAATGCATTCGCAGGAATAATTATTTGCTGTAGTGAACAGATGTGGTTAAATATTTAAGATAAATCTGAATTGACACCCACGCGGTTAACCCATCCTAACCTTGAGATCCTTCAAATGATATTTAACTGGATAAACAGAGAATTCATAACAAAGTATTTTACGTCACAATCGCGCCACTCGTTTTTCCGGTATTTTTCTCTCCCTCCCACGTGTCCAGTTCCATTTGCGTTATCAGTAGTGTCTCATTACCGCATTTACTATTCATTACTCATTATTCACTATTCACTACTATTCCAGCACGTGTTCTCGTAATTCAGTCTAATAACCGTTTCACCAGCTAATTAACAGCATCAATAAATCGGCTAATTGAACTTTCAGATAACACTTCCACCCCGAAATCCATAGACGTCAAGTGAAATCTAGATGAATTAACCCCGAAAAATTAATTCCAGATAAATAATCGCAGAAGAATTCAATTAACTGGAATGAAAATAGGATGAAACAATTAGGGGATAAGTTTTATTGGGATTAATTGAATATGAAATTAATTATCGCAGCGTAACTGTGGAATACACGTCGTACCATGGACTTTTTTTTCCTCTGTAAACAATTCTCATTGAGATTGAGGTGATGAATACATGCTGTTAGTATATTTAGAGACACCAAAACCTCAGACTTGTGCTCCACCCAGTTGATACATCAGCGATTCGAATGATAAGACTGTTAAATCCCTCCAAAAGTAGAATATCTGGTCTAATCTTGTCACCACTCACAGCAAATAAAATCAATAGTTCAATAAAAATCACAAATTCTTGTAACGCGTCACTAATTCGTATTTTTTCCCCTTTATTCACGCAGCCCAAGAAAATGGTCTGGATTACAGTCGACGATAAGGTATAAGTCCGACGAAAGAAACAAGAATTTTATTTCCAAAGAATTTAACTCTTTCTACTCTCGTTGCTTAATCACAGTCTTTTACATATTTTTTTTCTTCAGCCCATTATGAGAATTACTACAATTGCTGTTGATTTCGCTATTTACTCCGCAATTCTTTGTTTTATTATTATGCATTTAGTTGAGCTTTTGTTTTGATTTGTGAGACTGATACCGTAGACAAGATGGTGAAAATATTTCTGATACTTTTATAGTTCTATTTTGGTTTCACCTAGCTGATACCTGGCGTTGGACTACCGGTCTATTTATATTTTTTTCATTTTCCCTCAACGCATACTTTTTTTCTTACGTAATTGCTTGCCCCTGGGGTGTTATTAATTGATCAATTGATTTATCTACGTGCATTGGACATCAGCAGTAGAAAATTTGACAAAGCGACATGATTTATTCGTGATATCAATCCCAAAATACTTGCAGATGGCAACAGAACAGGGTGCAAGAGCTCAAACCGAGCAAAGTCACCTGGACCACATGTGCGCCCTGGACATTGGCTCTCGTGCGGCTTTCTACCGTCTCTCAGGCATAATCTGCACCATTGGTCCAGCCTCTAGGTCCGTGGAGATGCTGGAGAAGATGATAGAGACCGGTATGAACATCGCGAGGATGAATTTTTCCCATGGATCTCACGAGTACCACGCGGAGACAATTGCCAATGTCCGACAGGCTCAGAAAAATCTCTCGGAGAGGAACAAGGTGAATGTCCCAGTGGCAATAGCCCTCGATACCAAGGGCCCGGAGATTCGTACTGGCCTCCTGGAAGGCGGTGGATCAGCTGAGGTTGAGCTCGTTAAGGGGCAGACCTTCAAACTCTCCACGGACAAGGCGTACTCGGAGAAGGGTAATGCAGACACTGTCTGGGTCGATTACGATAACATCTCGAAGGTGCTGAAGGTGGGGAATCGAGTCTTCGTGGATGATGGACTCATATCTCTCATCGTAACTGCAGTTGCCGCCAACCAGATCACAACATCTGTGGAGAATGGGGGAACACTGGGCTCCAGGAAGGGTGTGAATCTCCCAGGAGTTCCTGTTGATCTGCCAGCAGTCTCTGAGAAAGACAAGTCTGATCTTCAATTCGGTGTTGATCAGGAAGTGGATATGATTTTCGCGTCGTTCATCAGGAATGCAGCTGCCCTGTCTGAGATACGTGGAATTCTCGGGGAGAAGGGAAAGAATATAAAAATCATATCGAAGATTGAGAATCAACAGGGGATGACGAATCTCGATGAGATTATTGAGGCATCAGATGGAATTATGGTGGCACGTGGTGATCTTGGCATTGAAATTCCACCTGAGAAAGTGTTCCTTGCCCAGAAGTGCATGATATCCCGTTGCAATAAAGTTGGAAAGCCAGTTATCTGCGCCACTCAGATGCTGGAGTCCATGGTGAAGAAGCCAAGAGCCACCAGGGCTGAGTCATCTGACGTTGCCAATGCCATTCTCGATGGGGCTGACTGCGTTATGCTATCCGGAGAAACTGCCAAAGGGGATTATCCCCTCGAGTGTGTTCGCACAATGGCCAATATATGCAAGGAGGCTGAAGCTGCAATTTGGCACAGACAGCTCTTCAATGATCTCGAGAGCAAAGCTATTCCTCCAATCGATGCAACTCATGCAGTTGCCATTGCTGCTGTCGAGGCATCCTCTAAGTGCTGTGCAACAGCTATTGTTGTCATCACCACTTCAGGAAGATCTGCTCATCTCATATCCAAGTATAGGCCACGGTGTCCTATTATCGCTGTTACCCGGTTCCATCAGGTCGCCAGACAGGCACATCTCTATCGAGGAATTCTACCTCTTCATTATACCGGTGAGATGACGATATTTCTCGTGATGTTTACAGAGTGGTAATTATTATTGCTGTTTTACAGAGCCACCAGTTACTGATTGGCTGAAGGACGTCGACTTGCGTGTCCAGTATGGACTGAATTTTGGCAAAAATCGTGGATTCTTGAAGACCGGTGACACTGTCGTGGTGGTTACTGGATGGAAGCAGGGTTCTGGCTTCACAAATACCCTTCGCGTTGTGTACGTAGAGGATGATCTTGCTATTGATCAGTCTGTGTGTACTCTATCTAGTGAGGAAGACTCCTATGACGATCTCATATGAGATAAATCTGGAGGGACTTCAAAGAACTCGTAGAAATATTAATCTTCAAATTTCTCTAACACCTTGTGCATGTCTTATTCGTCTCTCTCGTCTATTAGTCCATTCTATTATAATAAAAATTGATTGTGTTGAATAGTTGAATGTCGAGGGAAATAAATTCTTTCGATATTTTTCTAGTATTTTTCTGCTTTGTTGATTAATCGAAATGGTTTTCTACTTTTGCATGCTTCTGTTGTTATTTAGATCTTGGAATAAAACTGGCTAGTTTTTAAATGATTAATTGGGGAAATGAGTGGAAATTTTGCTTGAAAATATTCTAGGACCGTCGACTAAGATCGATTAGGCTGGCTGGATCAATGTTGAGGACGTATTAGAAAGCTGAAGGAGTAATCCAGAGTCTACACAGTGAATACTCTACATTTAACATATTAAAGAGATCAAATTATAATATTACGTTCCAAGAGCCCATAGGCGCTTCAAGGATCTTTCAAACTGGTTTAACATTAGGTTCAGTATTATGTCACTGCTCTAGAGCTTACCAGTGATGATAAGAGAATATACATTCAGATCTGTAAATGATTGTTGGTGAGATTATCATTAAATAAATTATTGAATCACAGGAGAAAAGTGTTTGCGATTTTTTTTATTGATCATCCAGTGGATTTTCTCAGTGCGAGGAAAGAAATTCTGGAAAACACTCGTCATGGAAAAATATCCATTGCACCGATTTTAATCCGGGTTGCAGGGAGACATCGGGAGGATTAAGTCCGTAATAAAACTCTCGGGATTTTTGTTCTTTCTGCCGTATGTAACAAAAGAAATGACCGACTGTCACCTACACTTGACCAGGTCTAATCTCCCCCCAATAAAATTCGGGATAAAAGGGTTGTAGCATTGCAGAGGGATTGAAAGACATTTTTCTTTCCTCCGGAGGCATTTTACCCCCGTGTTTCT